TTCACTTAGAAACATAGAATAATGAATATAATATTACATAAATAATATGCATAATTTTAATAAAAACTCCTCGAGACCTAACGTCCCGGTAAGGCAGTTTAATTTGAAGATAATGATTGATGAGTGAAGGTATTAAAAAATATATATACATGAAACATGAATATATAAAGTGAACATGACTAATGTGGAAAAAAAGGTAATTTGATTTATTCGTAAATTTTATTGTCTAATAAAATTAAAAGCACTCGTCGATGTTAAATACAACCGCACGCAAAAAAAATTATTATCAAATGTTACCTTTTTTTAAATATTTATCAGTGTATCGAACTATCGTTAAAAATTGATTTTATAATTATATAGGATTTTTTTAAGAATGTATATAGTGCTACATATCTATAACTGATGCGTGTCCTTTTTAATCTGCCTGTTATTTCAATAACTTCTTTTTTATAAACGAAATAAAATTAACTCTTTTTTGAAACCCAATTTTTATTAACAGGACCGACCCTAAGCCCTGTCCGTGAGGCAGGGCTGGATTTTTTTAATTTTTTACCCATGCCAGGCCGGGTGTGAATTTTTTTTAAAATACCCGGGCCTGACCTACATTTTTTTTTAAAAATACTCACTCCTGGCCAAAACAATCATTTGATGGCTAATAATGATATATCTCTTTTTAAATATAACTTCTTTTTTATAAACGAAATAAAATTTTAACTCTTTTTTTGAAACCCAATTTCTATAAAATAAGTGTTTATATCAGAGACTTACAGGACCGACCCTAAGCCCTGTCCGTGAGGCAGGGCTGGATTTTTTTATTTTTACCCATGCCATGCAGGGTCTGATTTTTTTTAAAATACCGGGGCCTGACCTATATTTTTTTTAAAAAATACTCACTCCTGGCCAAAACAATCATTTGATGGCTAATAATGATATATCTCTTTTTAAATTAAATTTACCTCCTTTCCATTTCTATAATATAAAGAAAAATTAGCAAAATGGAAGATGATGAGCAATAAATTGAATTAGTATTATTTCCATATTTTTTACAAGGTGTTCGGCCAATTGCTAGACCTTAGATTTTAAAAGATATGTTAAATTGTTATCTTAATGGGGAAATGTTATACTCCCGTTCAATTTGACGTCATTATACGACTGAATTATTATCTTATAAAGTATATAATAGAGTGCAAGAGAGTTGATTGATTAGTCTGGATCAAATTAAATATAAAAATTAGAGGATAAACATTCATAAACTAATCTTACAATTTTAAAAACCGGTTTTGTTCTAGCCAAAAACCATTTATAAGTCCAGCCTGAACTAGACCATTAATATTACCTTCAATCCGACCAGTAGCCAATAATTTTCTACTGGGAGGGGGGGCTTTGCCATTTTATAATCAGTTTTTAGTATCTACCAACATACATGCCATCGTTCGAGTGACCTCGTAGGTCACCTGGCATTTCATCTTTTTAATAAATACCGAGAATGATCAGTGTTTATTTTCAACGAGTTTAGAAAAAAAATTGACCTATCCTTTAGATTGATTATTGCCGCGTTCTTCGTCAGATAGATTCATGTTACAGGTTTCTGATGCCTCAATTTACGTGCCATTGACGCCTATAATCGAGAATATCCTTTCGTTTGTTATAAGTAACCGATCTTAGGAATATCTTTGCATTGACCATACAACATGATAGAACAAAAGCCGTCCATGCAAAAAAATAGCTAGATTTTTATCGGTCCTGCATTTGCTTTCCAGGCCTAGCGTCTGAATTTGTATATAAGTACTTTGACACAAATAATAAAAGCAACTTTCGATTACGATATAATCCCCTCTAAATAAAATAAAAAATAAATAACCAAACAATGATTGTTTTAACCGCTCATTCAGACTTTTCGAAATCTATGTATATATATAATGTAGAAAAATTTTCTTTGATAATTATTTTTAAATATTTTTTTATACGTTTTTGGAGTACCTACACACTAAGCAACTTACGACAAAAATAGTGTTTATTTAGAGTTCTGGTTACCCCAATTTACTCATTCACCTATAATATATAAATTTTTTATTGAAGGGTTGTGCTTAGCCCTATGATTCATTAGAGTTCTTTATATATTTTTTTCATACCTTTATTTCGATCAGTAGAAATTTGATTAAAGAGGTTTCGGGGGAATATAAATCCGGTAGTATACCTGGGGGCTTTTTTCGGGGTTGGGGAAGGGTGTTTAGAGGTTCATTTTCTTACATTTTTATATGAAACCTACTGCGCATGTCAAGAAAATTCATTAAAATATGGCTCTACCAATTTTTTAAGATTTAATGTATCCTCAAAAGGATTTATAGGTAACAATATTTATAAATTAGATAGAATATTTGATGAATCAAAAATTGTTCATCTATTTGAGTCAAAATTCTATTCAAAAATGGAATAAATGGTTATTTTATAGTAATCTTCAATTAAGTTTACGTTAATTTTGTAAAGATTCGTTTTTATAGGCGCAAGTCTAGGTTAGCGAATCTTAAAATAATAAAAATTCTTAGTCGATATTATTTTTAGTTTTCTAAGTTGTATTATATCGCGATTCTCATAACCTCAGTCAAATCCATATTATTTTTTATTAATACATTCCGATGCATGAAAATCGGATATCATATTGAATCTTATAAGGATCAGCTTCAGATATAATGTCTAAGTCATGCCATTCTATTATTTCTACAAGGGACTTTTGGATTCAAATATGCTGTAACAGCATGATGTCTATGGCACGATTTTGTCTGGCATTTATTTTTTAGCAGTTTCTTCTTCCCAAAATGTTACAGAAATAGTTATATTCAACAAATTCTATTTCTTTGGATATCTGAATGTACTATAAATTTGGTCTAATCATAGTTATTAGTAGAGATAAGATAAATTAAATATAATTTTTTTGGTTGACAGAATTATCTTATATTCATCAGTGTTTAATAAAGTTTAAAAAGTGTAAGAAAATATACCTTACATTTTCGTAAAATATTATTAAAAAAGCAAGATAAATTAATTTTAACTTTTTGTTAAAATTTAGAATATATCTCGTAATGGTATATGGAATCTATGGGGATTCGGACCCTTTCAACTTATAATGCTTTAAAATCTGATTTAACCGAAGATGTTTTCTAACAAGTACAGAATACCTATACTATCAATTTTATACAGTTTTGCCAGAAACATTAGTATATTTTTTTTAATTTATGAAAAAATTCTAAATAAATTCAGAATAATTATAAAGTTTAAGACAAATTTGTTTGAAATATATTCTGATTTCCGGTCAAATCAAATTTTAAAAAAATAGCTCTCAGTAAATGATTTAAAATAGAGATATGACGAATTCTCATGGATTCCATATCCCAATAGACAATATAAATTTACAAATATCTTTGCTAAGGGGGGGGGGCTCTACTGGCTACGGGTCTGACCGTCATTAACCTGATATAATGAACGGTTAGTCTAGGTTTATATATGAGATGGCTACGATTGGATATATATGTCAACCAATATTTGAAATAAAAATAATTAGTTATAAAAATTAATTAATATCCGTTTATGCGATGAAAATATAACATATATTGCTTTAAAAAAAATTAAGGAGAGACATAGGGAAATAATTATTCCCTTTTTTTAATATATATAAACTCGGTAGAGCGTAGTAATTAAGTCATTTTTTATTTAAAAAATATATAAATAACAAAATATAAATATAATAAAGAAAATGGCAACCACTCTGTTATTACTGGACATTTCTCTCTCATGAAACGATATCTATATATTTTTTTTACCGTTATTAAATTTTTTTTTCAAAAAATATTTTATCCCATTATAAAAGAAATAAAAATTTATAGGTGCTAAAAAAAATAGTTTTCTTTTCCTAAACATTGTAAAAAAAAAATTAATATTATTTATTAATAAGTTATTGTTTAATTGTTCTTTTTCTAAGATTTATTTTTATTTTGCTCCAAATGTAATGTCCAATTATCTTTTTTTAAAAAAAAAAAAATGATAATAGCCAAGGTATGATTGTTCATCTTGTAGTGTTTTTTTTTAAAAAAAAATAAACAATTGTTTAAAAAATAAAAGATTTATTTAGATGTAAACGCATAGAGATGTAAATAATTATAATATAATAAAAAGGTGTAAATGAAGATATCAATTTATAATAAATTATTTATACAGTTTTTTGTGGCAAAAAAAAGATGAGAAAAAGATAGAAATATATTTTTCAAAAAAATGTAAAAATTAAAAGGATTGAAATAAGTTTTTCAATAAATTATACGTTATAGCCAAAAAAGTGCCGTTTCCATGTATCGGAACGCGTTCCTAAAAATATGCCTAATCTAATTTCTATTATTATACTCATTTTACAAAATGTGGTATTAAAACATTTTCTAAAAAATTATCATGTATTTTAAATTTCTTGGTCCAACGCCTCACAAAAACTAAATTGGTAATAAAATTATCCATTGATCTTAAAAATTTTATTATACAATATTTAATTTTATAATTTAAAATGATTAAAAATGTTTGCTAAATAATAGATGAGTAAGTAATATGTAAAAATGAAAATAAAAAAAAACCCAATATTTATGATAGAACCATTATATATAAAGTAAAAAAGAAATAAAAAATTTTCAGTATTCCATAATTGTTCCGGGAAAATTTCAAATATTAGCGTTTTTTTTACAAACAATTTTAGCCAAGTTTGACTCCCGCAACGTTCCGTTCTAATATTAGTATTGAAATTTAATTTTTATAAAACAAATTTAAATATATTTAAATTCAAATAAAAAAAAATAGGCTATCTTCAATATAATTTGATGATATACTTATTTTTTTTGAAAAAAATAATAATAAATAAATATTACATTTATTTACTTTTTTTTCTTTGTAAAAAAAATATATTATATATTAATTTAATTTTTAAAAAATAAAAAAAAATTATTGAAGTTTTTTAAAGACAAGTAAAATTAAAATTAAATTTTTTTTTGATAAAAATCAGGAAGGTTTTGAAGATGCTAATTAATAAGATAAAAATCGACAAGAATAATATTTTATCGATTGATTCTGGAACTAATTCCGGAGAAGATGCAAATCCTAAATTTTCGTTCGCAAATAATTTTCGACTAATAAAATCCACGTCGCTTTCAATATTATTCGCTTTGATATTTCTAGCATTCCTGTCTCAAAGTAATAAAATTCAGAGCATTAAAACCTAAATTCTGATTCATTTATATATTATATAAAAAGATACAAATATGTTTTTTTCTTATTTGCTTCATAAATCAAGTTTAGGCTGAAATTAGAGTTAATATATTAATTTTTTTAAATAAAATTATTTAAATTAATTTTTTCAAGGTTTATTATTTTCTAAATTCTTTGGATTTTCTTCTTCTTTAGATCATCTAAATCAAATGTTCAAAGAAAAATGTTTCTCTTTAAAATGGCTGTCATAGTTAGCCATAAAAAAATCTGGAAGTTGAGAGGTCAATTAGAGTAGATAAATTCTCGATTGTTTATTATTTATAATATATAAAATTACAAATGAGGAAGAGAATTAACTAGTTGACGTTTATTATCATTTATATCATTAACATGCCAAATTAGTAACGAGTTGTTAAAAACTTTTTAAAATGAATTTATATTATCTTTAATATTATAATAATTAATTAAATTCGTGTAAATTTAGCAAAATAATAAATGATATTTTTGGAGGTTTATTTTAGCACGAATTATGCAAATTTAAAAATAAAATTAAAATCTTTAGAATGACCAATTTTTTTTTCAATTTTTTTTATCTTTTTAAATTTATATTACCTTTTATAACTTAATAATTTTTAAAATCCAATCTTGTATGCCAACAGCTAAGAATTCAAATTGGACAAGATAGCCGTGGTGAAAAGATGGCAAAATAGTTTTTTTGGCACGTTAATTTTAATTTGAGTAATCCTATATTGTTTTTATTTTATTCATCACACCTAAATAATTAAGGATCAGATATAAATTTTAAATTGGAAGATTTTTATTTTTATAATGTGTCTTTACTCTTTCCTTTATATATCATGTGTTATTTTTGCTTATAATTACATCTGCCATATTTATTTACCTGCCCAGCGAATAGCCCATTTTATACGTGGCGTTGTGTTAATAAAAAAAAATATAAAAACAACAAAGCATCTTTTTTTAAAAATTATTTCTATACAATTAAAATTTGATTGACTGGGGTTTACTAAGTGAAAGATATTAAATGCAAGATTATTTATGCTTAGCTTAGCAATTATTATTTAAAAAAAAACATTATTTTTTAGAAATATTAAATTTTATAAAATCCTGTTTTCTCTCAATGTATGTTAAAGACCACTGCTGGCCAGGAACCCGTTCTTTCCTATCAATCAGATACGGCCATCATTATAAAAATTCAATATACCGGTTTAAAAACGAAATTACAAATAAAAAAATATTAAATTATATGATATCATAAAATTCGATCGATATATATATATTAAAGTCCTATTTCGAAGAAAAGGAAATAATAAAGGACAGAATATCATGTGGATCATGTTACAATCATATTTATTTTTTTATAAATTTTATTTTGTCACGAATTTTCCACATATAGTTAAACCTGCATGCAATACCATTTTCGAAATTTTTTATCAATTGTATAAGGCCCCCCTTCTTTATTGCCTAAATTTGACTCGTTTTATTCTCTGAGTGAATTAAAAATCTCGGACACAATCACTTTGGTTAAAAGATTCTTATTTGTATCAGCATTTATTTTTATTGCTGATTAACGGATTCGCTAGCTCTTGCTGCATTCTAAAAATTCTAAATTCTTTGTTTTTATTTAGACCAGATGAAGGTTAACCAGAATAATTCTTAGCACTCGAAAATCTGAAAAATTTTTTTGCTTTATTCACGAGTTTAGAAACCAAATTAATAATGATGTAGACGACAAAATATAGATTCTATTTGGCGTCTAAACTCGATGAGAAATTTTTCTAGATCCTGTCATGGCTGAACCCGTCTGGGTTACTTTCACTTCATGGCGGACATATATTAGCGAAATCTCGAGATTTAGGCAATATTTTTCTTATTTAAATAATGCGTTAGCCGTTTTAAAAATCGGCTCAAATGGAGCGATTTGAATCACTAGTTCTGAGCACGATTTTGCTACTCCCTAGCTCGCTTATTGCTTCTATTTGAATTCACAAGATTAATAAATTTACTACTCAACTCATTACTACGAGCAAGATCGATATCATAAATATTAAAAGAAATTTTTCATTAATATCTAATATAATGCAATAAAGAGGCTATTTAACAACTTTATTTATTGATTATGTTTTTTATAGGATAAATGATCTAAAATGCATAATATTTTATTTTTATTATTTAAAATTTTTGAAAAATAATTAAATTTATTATTGTGTGTATTATTACAATTTTTGAAATTAACATTTTTAAAAAATCGCCATTAAGGTTGTCGTTGTGTGCGCCACAGCTGTCACGTTTTCTCTGTATGTTTTAAGTATTAAGCAAAATAAAATTTCATTTTATGCACATTTCAATATAAAATAAATTGTCGCAATTATTTTTATTAAGGTTCATTTAATTATTTTTTAAAAGCAAAATTATTTTAAATTATTTGTCCTTCATTAATATTTTTTAATAATTAAAAAAAAATACTTTTTTTAGCTTTATCTAATTCAACTAATAATACCTTATTTATATCTTTAAATTCACACTGATTCTTAGAGCATTAATTATATGAACCACCGACCGCGCAAAAATATTTAAAAATATGAAATTTTAAATAAAATTTTGGAATATTTCATAGAAAAAAGGGGTCAGAGTGTCAGTTAGCATAATTTTTTAATTGGTTAAAATGTTAAAATGGCCCCCAATGTTTCTTGAAGTGATGAATATTTAAAAAATTAAATATTCACATTTATAAAAAAAAAAATTTCTGTGATGCATTATTATTTTTTCCTATATTTATATTTTAAAATATTATTATTTTCAGAGTGTCGAATTTTTTGGGTTCGGATGGTTCATAAAAAAATTATAAAGGTTTACTAGATGTCCAGGTTAAGGTAGGTTCGGTTCGGGTTCAAAAACTTTTAATTAATTATATTTTTTTTATACAGGGTATTACATAATCGATAAATAATTTTATGAAAAATATAGGAGAATAAAATTAGCCCAACATTTATTTGTTGATTTTTATTTGTAGATCACGGTAAGACTGACAGACTGGGCTCATAGAATATTTTTTACAAGTGATGCGGCCCGGGCGGGGATACAAATCGAACTTGAACCCTTTAAAAATAATATCATGATTTCAACGTATTAATTTAAATTTCATCAAATATATCTGTCAAATTTTGTTCTCTATGGTGATAGAAAATATATTAACCCTGAAAATGATCCTTAGACAGAAACACGTGTTACTGGAATGGCATAATAGATATAATGAATCGTTTCTCAATTTTATTCCCTCCCAATATGCAAGAATATCGGGTTTTTTATTAATCCATTCGATGATGTTAAAAATGAATTTTATTAAAAGAATTTATAATAACTATTAATCCCTCTTGTTTGGTATTGTGTGATAAATTTTGAGGTTATTTGGAATAAAGATGATTCAAAATTGCCCAAGGAGTTGAGTAATTATTTTGTCTTGAACTAATGGAAGTCTTTTTACACATCCAAGTTCTTCAATTACATGACAAATTTGTATAAGATAATATTTCTAGCACTATTATTTATCTGAAAAAAAATAATTGATATCGAAATAGGATTTGGGGTTACATAGCATAAATTACTTAATATTTACAAATAAAAAATATAAATAATACTTAGAGATAAGATAATAATATGAACATGGTTAGCTCTTTTAAATTTTTTTTTTAAAAATATTAAATTATAAAGTTTCGGTTCTGTTTTGAAGTTCTGGTGGGTTCGACACTCTGATTATTTTATATTTTCATACCAACATTATTGTACAAAAAATTAGGGAATCCATTTTTATAATTTCTCATTCATATTTACCTAATCATTGTTTTAAATTAATCACAATTATATATTTATTTATAATTCACTGTTCCAACATTTTAGAGTTCCTCTTTCTTAGGCATAGTGTATATTGGGTATAATAATATTAATATTTGGGTGATATCGACTTTAGTTATTGTATTTGTTCTAAAACAAAATATTATTTTTATAATGATGTTTATTTTGATTTGTAATTATATTACAATAGTTGATAGGTTTTCGAAATAACATGTATTTTAAATGTAAAAAATTTTATAAATAATGAAAATTTTAGAAAAAAATGGCAGAATTTAGTGTTATTTATTTAGAATTATCTTTCATCTCGATGAAAAAATAGGTATATATATATATATTATATATATATGGTACTTCTCTATATAATTCTGTTGGTTGATTATTCAGCTCTCCAAACAAAATATTGAGTCACACGCAATTTGTGATAGGATAGCGATAATATTAATTTTTTATAAACCAAATATCTAACAAAAATGAGTATCTCTTATATCGTATAATTTTGGTATTTTTTATAAGATGCTTCTATACGTATCTAGGATATCTTTTTAGAGTCTGGATCTATATCTACATGTATTTTTTAAGGATCTGCTCTACTCTGTTCCACCCTGACCTAAAAGGTATTGTCTAATTTAAAATTAACACTTTAAATCCTAAAATAGATATTTGCACTTGCCCATTACATGATCAATCAAATAAAAATCTCCATAACTGACTCCTTTTGAAAAAGCCTGCATATAACTAAAAGGCAAAAATCTGCAATAAGCCATCTCCAATATATATTACGATTGCGAAGGTCAAGTAAGTACATCTGATTAATGTGAAGACTAGATTTCAAAGTAAAAATGATCACTATAAATGAATTGAGAAGCTCATAAGCAAACATAGATAGAAAGTATCAAAACAACATTGTAAAACTAAATAAAATAGAAAATTACAGATTTTGAGACAATATCATTTGCCTCTGAGCTTTTCTTCTTAAAAGCTTATTTTTTTTAAATTTAGAGTTTCAATGCTACAAAATCTTAACAATAAATTTTTATAAATTGTTTCTTAAATTATAAAACCCAAATCGTGGTTACTGAGTAACTCTTTACCCTCTTCCCATCCTGATGCTAATG